AACACAACACATAAAAATTTGTAAGACAAAATAAAACAGTGCTGAGAGGGAAACTTATAGTGCTAAATGTCCTCATGAATGTAAATGCAAAAATCCTAAACAAAATATTAGTTTAGATAGATAGTTTTAAATAGAATTCAGCAATATATAAAAAAGTATACACCATGACTAAGTGAGGTTTATTCCAGGGATACAAAACTGGATCAATATCCAAAAATCAATCAATATAACCCATCTACAATTATCAACAGGCTAAAGAAGAAAAATCACAAAATCATATCAATTGACACACAAAAAAACACTTGACAAACTTCAACGTCCACTCATGATAAAAACTCTCAGGAAGACAGGAACAGAAGGGAACTTCCTCAACTTGATAAAGACATTTATCTAAGACAAGCATCTATGAAAACACTACAGTTAACATTATAAAACTACACAATGCAGATGAAAGAAATCAAAGATCTAAATAAATGTAAGGACATACCCTGTTTATAGATTGGAAAATGCAACACAGATAGTAAAGATGTCAATTTTTCCCAAATACACGTCTATTGCAATTTCTACCAAAATCCCAGCAAGACTTTTTTGTAGATATGACAAGATCATTCTACAATTTATATAGAAAGGCAAAGGAACAGAATAGCTAAAACGACTCTGAAAAAGACAAAGTGGGAGGAATCAGTCTACCCCATTTCAAGGTTTATCATGTAAGTAGCCAAGACTGTGGTATTGGCAGAGGGACAGACACACAGATCAATGGAACAGAATTAGAGAATCAAAAAATAGTCTCATACAAATATGCCCAACACGTTTTGAACAAAGATACTAAAGCAATTCAAGAGAAGAAAAAGAACCTTTTCAACAAATGATTCTGAAGCAACCGAACAGCCACAGGCAAAAAATAATAATAATAAACCTTGACCTAAATCTCACATCTTAAATACAATTATCTCAAAATGGATCATGTAAAACTATAAAATCTCTAGGGAAGAAAAAAACATAGGAAAAAATCTTTAGGATCTATGGCTAGACCAACAGATCCTAGACTTGACACCGAAAGCATGATCCATAAAAAAATAAATTCGGAAATTGGACTACAACAAAATTAAAATGTTATGCTCTGCAAAAGACCTTGTTAAGGGAATAAAAAGACATGCTACAAACAAAACACATATCTAACAAAGCACTAGAATCTAGAATATATAAAGAACTCTCAAAACTCAAAAGAAAAAAGACAAACAATCCAATTAGAAAATGAGCAAAAAACATTTCCCTGAAGAAAATACATAGATGACAAGTAAATATATGAAAAGACGTTCAACATCATTAGCCATTAGGGAAATGCACGTTAAAGCCACAATGAAATATCACTACGTGCTTATCAGAATAGCTAAAATAAAAAATAGTTATAACACCAAATGTGGTGAAGATGTAGAAAAACTGATCAGTCATACATCACTGGTGGGAAGGTAAAATGTAACAGCCACTGTAGAAAACGGTTAGGCAGTTATTAAAAAAACTAAACACGCACCCACCACACAACCCAGTAATTGTACTCCTGGGCATTTATCCCAGAGAAACAAAGACTTCACACAAACACCTGTACGTGAATGCTTACAGCAGCCTTATTTGTAATAGCCAGAAACTGGAAACAGCTAGATTTTCAACGGGTAAAGGACCATAAAATTACATCCATACTATGGAATACTAGCCAGTAATAAAAAGGAAGCAACTATAGATACATGCAACAACTTGGATCAATCTCCAGAGAATTTGGCTGAGTGAAAAAAGCCAATTCCAAAAGGTACTTACTGTATGGTTCCATTTATAAAACATTCTTAAAATGACAAAATTATAGAAATGGAGAACAAATTAGTGATTGTTAGGGCTTAAGGAGGGGTAGAAGTAGGAGGGAAGCAGGCATGGCGATAAAACAGCAACCTGAGGATACCTTGTGGAGATGGAAATGTTCTGTATCTTGACTGTGCCAATGTCACTACCATGAGTCTGATATTGTACTACAGTTTTGTAAGATGTTACCACTGGGAGCTACTGGGCAAAGGGCACATGGGATCTTATTTCTGAAAGCTGCATGTGGATCTACAATTATCTCACAAAAAGTTTAATTTAAAAAAAGAACTGGACCTTCACTCAGTGTTCTAAGGGTCATCACCTAAATGTGAACACTTAAGTATGGATCTCCCTATAACCTCTAATATTAATCCCAGTTCTGTGCTGGACTGAGGACACACAAACATAAATGTGAAGTATATACCAAAAAACACCACACACTCAAGGAGAGTGACAAACATAGGAATAAGTCAATAGTGAAAGGCTTCATAAAAGAAATGGTATTTAAGCAAATCTCTAAACTAGAGGTAGCACTTCCACAAGCTGGGATGGAGAGGGGAAGATCTTGGGAAGGAAGATAGATCATATATAAGGGCACAGAGCCAGAAGCACAGTGTCTACGGAGAAAGAGGTATGTGTGTTGTGGAAATAACGGAAAGACAGAATAAGCAATATGAGAGTAATTATGGAGCTTTCAAGCCATGTATTCCTAAAGCAGTAGGCACTCAATAAATGCTTGTTGAGTAAATGAATGAGCGCGCTAGGATAGTTAAAACTTGTTAATCCCAAGAAGTCACACATGAGGTAATTCTCCTGGCATCAGGTGAGAGCATGGGACCAGAGTCAGAATGAAGGTAGATCTATTTGTAGCTTTTCAGGTGCAAGCTTTAGCTACCCTGGCCAGAGTTTTACTCCTGGTTGATTAGCATACCCTATCTCTCATTTTAATAATGAAATAATATTAATATATTTTAATCATCATAATTATTATATATTATGTACTTCTTAATATGATTATGTACTTCTCTGCATGTTTATCTGTTTAATGCTGTCCATCCCTCAGTTATCTTAAGTCTCTAACACTGGGTCCAGAACACATTAATCACTCAATAACATTAATTGTACAAATGAACAAACAATAAGTATTCACTCCTAGTTTTTGTCTGTGCAGGTGCCCCAGTCGTCTTCTCTATTATCTGTCACTCCCTTTGCTTTGGTCCCTCTTTGACCTACTGCTTTTTTTTTTTTTTTATCTGATCTCTCCTCTTTCCTTCTTCCTCCACCTCAGCCAACAACTAACCCATCATAAAAATAAAACTCAGTATATTTTAAAACAGTGATTCATGAAGGCAATGTTATAACACTTCTGAATCTCAACTAATTAGGAACTGTATCAAAGAAATCTGTAACTGAAAACAAAGTACTAAAGTTGTATATTGTTATGTAACCACGATAGATGTATGTACTACAAAAGCAAATAAGTAAAAGCAGAAATAGGGTTATCCCTGTTGTGGGTTATAACACTTCTGAATCTCAACTAATTAGGAACTGTATCAAAGAAATCTGTAACTGAAAAAAAGGAATAAAGTTGTATATTGTTATGTAACCACGATAGATGTATGTACTCCAAAAGCAAATAAGTAAAAGCAGAAATAGGGTTATCCCTGTTGTGACCTTAGCCTTTTTCCAGAACTGGATGATCCTATCTGGCATACGGAAAGCCGTCCATCAAGGAAAGCCAGGACAGTATTCAGCAAGGCTACCAAAGTTATGGAAAATCAGGAAAGACTGAGTATCACAGACCGAAGACTAAAGAGATATGATACCCAAATACAATGTGGTGACTTGGATTGGATCTTAAAACAGAAAAAGGGTATTAATGGAAAAACTGGTGAAATACAGATAAGGTCTGGAATTTAGTTAACTTGAAAAAAAACTATATAAGAGGCACTAGCTAATATATGATTAAGATTAAAATATATTAATATTATTTTCATTATTAAAAAGAGAGATAGGGTATGCTAATCAACCAGGAGTAAAACTCTGGCCAGGGTAGCTAAAGCTTCCAGCTGAAAAGCTACAAATAGATCTACCTTCATTTTGACTCTGGTCCCATGTTCCCACCTATGCCAGGAGAATTACCTCATGTGTGACTGCTTGGGATTAACATCAAGTTTTAACTATCCTAGTGCGCTCATTCATTTATTCAACGAGCATTTATTGAGTGCCTACTGCTTTAGGGATACATGGCTTAAAAGGGAGGCACAATCTCTGCTCTCATAAAGCTTAAACTCTATTGAAGAAACCAGGCATTTAACAAGTGTTCATAAATGGTGAGTGCTCCCAAGAGTTTTGCAGCATAAAAGAGGTACCAAACAAACCATTAGAACACTTATTAAACCCAGTTAACTCTAGCGTTCTGAACAAAAGCTTCTCAGATTTCAAAGTGCACACAAGTAACCTGAAATTCTGTTTAAAGCACATACTGATTCAACTGATGTGGGGTGAGGCCTGCGATTCTGCATTTCTTCCAGACTCCCAGGGGATAGGGATATTGCTGGTCCACGAATTACACTTGGAATAGCAAGGCTCTGAAGTACCATGGAAACATCCTCAAACTATTATGTAAAAATGTAAGATCCATAAAGGCAAGGAAATTTTGTCTCCCTTATTCACCACAATATATCCAGGACTTAAAATTGTGCTCATGGACAGACGGCACTCAATAAATACTTATTTACCGAATAAATAAATGACTATGGTCTAGACCAGCCCTGTTGTTCAATGTAGCCACTCACCACATTTGTCTATTGAATACTTGAAATGCGGCTAGTGTGACTGAGGAGCTGTATTTTTTTTAAATTTAATTTTAATTTGAACAGCCACATGTGGTTAGTGGAGACCACACTGGCCACTCCAGGTCTCGACATAGATCTGATGTAAAGAGCACTGGACTAAGGTCTAGGTTTGTATCCCAACTCTGCCACTTAGACTGTGACTTGGAAAGTTTCAACTTCTTAGGGCCTCAATTTCCTCATCTGTGAAATGAAGACAAGACCTCCTACCTCAGGATTCTTGACAGGAATTATTACAAAGCAATGTATTAAATATATGATATGGTTAACGTGACATTCTCTGCCCTCCAGAAACTGTTCACAATCGCAAAGACTACTTTGCCTATTGCCCACACTTGCCAAAAAATGCCAAGAGAATTCGGTTGACGGGTTGGTTAGCTCAATGGCTTTGAGAATGAAGAATGAGGCCAAGGTCATAAATGTGGAGGGGGGGACGGTGGGGAGGACACTCGCTTAGCAAGGTTGACCAGGTAAGAGAGACAATGACAATGCAAATCATCTCAATTCCTGGTACATCTTTAAATGGGCACGTTATTGATTATGGGTGAGTAAATGACATTTCATTCATTCATTCTTCCAGGAAGGTCTGCCACATTACCTAAAGACCACTACTTCCCAACCACAGACATTTGCTAATTCAGGGCCGGGTCCTCTTTGGGGGCAGCGGCTGGGAAGCCCCCACCCCCGGCCGCCGGCATGTCCTCCCCTCCCCCGTCGCGCCGGCCCGGCGAGGGTCAGGCTGGCACCGCGGCTCCAAGTACCACACGGCCGAACCTAGAAGCCATATTTAGCTATATTTTTGTCAATAAAACAAACTTCCGTCTTCTAAAGAAAAACGGTTTTAACTCAATGTCAAACTAGGACGGAAACTCGCTGCTCGCCGCAGGCGCCAACAAGAGACGCAGCGTGTCCAGCGGCCCCAAGACCACGACTCGGACCCCGAGCCGAGCGCGCCCGCGCCCCGACCCACAGCAGCGCCGGCCACAAAGGGACAGGGGACGCGGACGCGCTCGGGCCTCCTCCCGCTTCAACGGCCCCGCGCGAGCGGCCGCGGTCCG